AATTTTAGGTAATTGAAAAAGTAAATGACCGATTTTAACAATCGAAACGTGTTCTTATCTTTTCCTGTTACTATGATTCCTGAAAAGCTACGAGATATGTCCTACATAAAGATTAAATGTTAGGCCGACCATCTTGAATATTGAGATGGTGACCACTTTTGTTATGTGCACAGAGAAATCTACATTCATCTATCAAACAACCACTGAAATAGGACAAGAAATAGGAAAGTAATAACAAAATCAATTCGATTCGGCACTTTGGCAAATACAGTTTTACTAAATACGGTCCTGTAGGACAAGGCATGTTTTACAGAGGACTTGTGCTAAAAGACAAATGCCAAGATTTCGCAACATTTCTCATTCAATTAAATCATAATGGGAGATACAAAAATCATGGGCTTGAAAAAAAAGTGTCATTGTTTATTTGGCACCTATACTAAATACGGCCCTGAGAGCTGAATCTTTGGTCTTGGTCACATGAAGACATTTGATCAGAAACTCCATACCAATAACATAGGTGAATTTCAGGCAAATCCCACTGTGGGCCAATTCCCTATGGTTTTGTGCGGGGTCCTTTAGCGATAACTATTCAGGACCTAATGTCATCACTTTAACGCCTTGTACCAACTCAACGAAACGATTTTGGATATAGGTAAGATTATTTCCCTAAAGAATGCATAAGATGCCTCAGATCAGAAATTATTCATTTGCAAATGAACCTCGAGAAAAAAATTAACACGATACAAAAAATAAATAAAAACTGGAAGTTTCCAGTCCGACCTATGAGAAGTTATCACCAAATTTGTACGGCAACATGGTTGTTTGAAACACTTGCAGGTCACTGATGATGACCAAAAACATCTCAATACGTGACTCACAGTCACAGAACATGCCATACCAAAAATTATGAAAATCGATCTCAGCCTACTCTTTTTATGAGCAAAATTATTTGTTTACAAAAAAACTTCAACGCCTTGTACCAACCCAACGAGACGATTTTGGATATAGGTAAGTTGGCCTAAATCAACCTGTTCTTTTCCCAGCCGAGCCATGTCCCAACCATTTACAGACACCCTGTCCACTAAACCTAATAACATAAATCATGAAAATCATCCATTTTCTCAAAGTGGTCCACAGTATTTTCAAGAAGAAAAAAACTAGGGGCTCAAAGTCGGTCGACCACACTTCATATAATAGTAGTAACTAACATTTTACATATGTAACCGGTTTCGGCGCTACGGCCATCATCAGACAAGTATTTGTCAGGAATAGAAGAATAATACCTAAAAATCAATATTTTCACTGATCACACTATTTGGCTTGTTCGCCATAATAGACCACAAACAAAATGGCTGAAATGGAATTGAATTGACTCTTGACAGTTGACTAGGTTACTTTGCCGTAAAAGAACAAATATCATCTCCTTGTATCCTGTATGCATGTAAGCTACGTTATAAGGTGGTGAAACGAAAACGTTGCACAAATAACATACAAACTCTGTCTGAGATATATCTGATAAACCTAAAATCAATTTATCACAATATTATCTAATGATATTATTGATATTGATGTCAATATTGATGCGATGTCTCATAAACGTTTTACTTCATAATATTGTGTTGGATACTTCAGAAGGACATTATCGCAATGTTATTCCAACAATATCACAAAAGTTATAACTGAAAAATATTTTTGTTATGTATCATGTTTAGTGGGTGTATACCGTTACCTAAATACGGTTACTATTTTATTCATAATAAAATTGGTCTGACGTTAATTTATTCAAAACATTGATTTTTTTCAGTTTAAGCGGAATCCAATGTGATATACGTATTGAAGCGCTGGACAAAATATACCGGTGAATGAAGACAGATTGTAATGACTGATGATGAACTGAAAGATATTGTGATAGACCACCTATACCTATTTATACCATAACCCATACCTACTTCAATACTTCAATAGTATTATTATTTTAAGGTTGTAAATGTTTTTTATGTGCTGAATAAATCCTAAATTAGTCTTATCATTCTTTCAACGTACATCATAATAGCACTACCAGTTTAATGAGTTTTGTGTGTGGTCTCTTCTTTAAAGGTAATATAATTATAAACAGAGTGACCCATTTTGATCGAAACACTGCGTTTTGGAACCGAGGAAGAACAATTTTCAGCGATCGCATTAATGTCAAAGGATGAAAATAATTAAGCATTTTATTATGAGATGATCATATCGAGTCTGGGTGTTTAGTTTCAAACGCCTTCATAGTTTTCAACAAAGACAGAATATCGTTCGTATACTTCGGGAGGTAATCCTGCTTAGCAAAATAAAAGATAATTATAATGTTCCTATCAACATGTTGATTACAATAGTGTGTGTGTGTGATCTTCAGAATTCTTTTTTTTTTTTGAAAAATTGACTTTGAAAGTTTTCACTTCTTGAAGGTGATGAATATCCCTCTGGTGAACCTCATCCAACGCGAAAAGTATATTTCCAGTTAGTTCGTAGTATATATGGCATTTTTGCTTATAATTTTTTCGACAATTTTTAGAGATGAGAAAGCAGTAATTTTTTAAGATGTTACATTTTTTCGGTTCTTATTTCATTCGTAGACCTCATTACAATATTAAATTCTTGGGAATTCTTTTGAACACACATTTTTCCAAATGTTTAATCCGAAGGAATTATGATTTTTATTTCAAAATTGGAATTCAAACATAAGGTAAATATTTAAAACACATACACTCGAATGTTTCATTCTAGTTTTGCATCCCTTCTTCTTTTTTTGAGGACTATCTTCTCCTTGTTGCTATTTTTTCATTTTTACTACAAAAGCTGGTATTGCATACTCCATTACTCCATTCCATTAAGTGCAAGGCATGCAAAATTGTAAATATTCCATATTGTTATCGCTACAACTCAAAAGTTTGTTGCGTACAATTCAATATTTTATTTACTGATGAGAATGTAATAATGGGACAACTGAAATGACTTGTCCTATTATCTACCACAAAAAAAAATTAATTTTCAAAATACGAGGCGTATCCTGCGAAAACTAGGTGACAAGGCAAAAAGTCACTTTCTTGTGACCAGCGTTGTCATTTTTTTTTATCGCTTGGAGCGCACGAAAGGGAATCCCTATAATGTTCAAAAAACATCGTGCGTTCCTAGGGGGGATAGGGACAGGAGGTAGGTATTGGAATTATTTTCGAACTTTTGGTGATTATATGCTGTTGGGAATACTTCCACAGCCTATAGCCGTTCTATGGATGAAGGAGTCTTGATAAAGTGCTGTTCGACATCTTTCGAGGTTGACAACGAAAGGATGTGCTGACTGGGCTTGTCTAGTTCGTCTGATTGGTATTGCTAATGAAGGGATGATAGCAGAGATTTCCGAAGAACATTTCCCGTGGAAGTATCGATAGAAAAGTGAAAGGTCGCCGACCTTTCTACGGTGTTCCAATGATGTCAAAGAGTGAGTGAGTGTGGCGTCACCCACCAGGCGACTGGCTCTTCTCTGGATGGAATCTAAGAGTATCAGCCTATGTTTTGTTGCTGAACCCCATATGTGGGAACAGTATTCTAGAACAGTTGTCACACTATTATTCTCAACTTCCGAAAATGCTTCCAAAGGAGGCTACCATTGAAACTAGAATCACGAATTTTGGTATCTAATAGTAATTTGAATGATAAACATGATTAAATATTCAGGGAAGTGCGAAAGTCCTAACTAAATGGCCCATTTTTGTTGTTTCACAATAATCATCAATATTATTTCTAGTACCAGAACATGATTCTTCTGTCTTCAAACACTGTTACATAGGAAGGTATAATCTTGTGAGAAATGCCATAAAAATTCACCAAGTGAATTAGTTTGTGAAATTTCGCCAATTTTCTCAACAAATCAACATCACTTTCAACTAATAGAACAAAAGTTATTTATCTGAATAACACCGAACAAATTCAAGGGGTGATTCCCTGTGATATTTCAGGAAATAAAGATAATATAAACATGTGCCCTAAGTTGCTTCGTTTTCGAGATACAGGGTATTAATATCTTCATGAAAAATCTTTTTTCTATTCATTTCTCAATTGTCTTTTCATCAATTTCAATAGAACGTTGTGGTTTCGTCAATAGTTATATGGAGTTTATTCTAGTGCAATTAGATTCGAAATAATATAATATAATAAGTTTCATATTTTTATTAGATTGAACTGACACTGACTGACTGAATTGACTTGAAATAACAACTTTTTTATTCTCTGTGTGATTTTTGTATCTAGCTTAGTTTTTGAGAAAACAATACAAATTCTATTTGAATCCAAATTTAAATGTATATATAGGTGTTTCCAAGACTTCCATTGAGATTACTCAATAACCCCAATTAGAATCATTATGAAATTTTGGGGCTTCCTCAGTCTTCATCCATACTGAATTTTGGCATATTGAAAGCTTATACAGGGGGGTTATAAATAAAAACAAGTAATACTTCCAACTTCAACATTCTGTATAAGATGCCTGCGAAAAAATTCCTGCAACGCAGGTGTCATTCCTGTTAAAAACTTTAAATTTCACGTCGATTATTTTCTGATTTCAATATAGGTAATGTAATATCCAAGGTAATATCTTCTTGATATTGATTTGTCCTTTTTCCTTTCAAAAAAAAAATAGTGTTTTTTGTCTCCCGATGCGTAGCGGAATCAACACAACCTGGAGCTGAAATCTATTACTTTTTCCCCTTGTATAACAAATAACTATCATTCTACAGGTTCTTTTCAATCCTACAGGGAATTATATTTTTGCATCAGGATCAAATGTATCACTTTAGTCCTTTGGATTTGAATGTACTATTAGCATTCTTTGTTGATTTTTTCATAATCAGTATTGCTATGTCAAATGACTAATATCAAGATGACTAGTTTGAATTGGAAGGGATAACCTCGCGCATTCGCGTTATCTGGAAAATAGATAAGAGATAAAGCGTTGTTTTCTGATAATTAGTGCAGCGAATGAAACAAACCATGATTCGTATACGATTGTATATCAATTAATGTGAAAAGTCATACCTACTCTAGAATGTGTGTTTGTGTTTTCATTGCAATTTTACTTGCATAATTCAGTGTTTCGTATTCGTGACTATTCTATATGATGTAAGTAATTAATGTAAACTTCTCATTCTAATCAGTCTCTACATGATTCACGTTTACACTACACAACACTAGGTGGGGCAACATAGTTACTTATATATTCGTTAATGAAGTTACTGAAGTTGACTTTTTTCGAACAAAACAATCAATCCGAAATGTATGTACAGTGCACAGTATTTACAATTTCCTTGGAATCTAGGAATTGGAAAACTAATTATTCACGTTGAAGTGCACTCAAAATTCTAACAACATATAATTGGGTCACGTGATGTTTGTCTGTGATTGTTTGACAATTGAAAGCACTGTGGAACTGTTTATTACCTACCTTGTTAATATCTAACGTATTTTGAAATGTCAAAAATAAAGATACAAAGTTTTTTTCTACAAACGTCAGTAAAAGTATAATTTTTGACGCATGCTGTCAGTGTCTAAAATGTCAGGTTATGACACTGGTGAAAAGTAAATCACCTTCAGCAGTGGGTAGATGTGACAGAATTTATTTTCGTGATGCTTGTACCAGGGCAGAGAGCAATATTATCTGCCGAAGTTTTCGACAAAATTTGATCTGCAATGTTCTGTTTAATTTGTAGCGAGTCTTCTATATAACCCTCTGCTACTGTACTGGACTTCCATGTGACTTCCATCCACCATGTCTTTTAATTGTAGTAAAACTAGCACCAGAGTCCGCCAACAAACTGGGGATGGGAATCAGGCAAATTAAGAAATTCGGCAATTTTGGCAGGCTTCTTACCAAATGTGTTGATTCCAACTGGAGTCCTGGCACAATTATTTTTAATGCATTTTATAAATACTCTAGAATGATTAATATTCACTGGACGAAGGGCTATGTACTTTTTTTAGTAGTTCATATACAATGTACCACTTACAACAAAGGTGCGTTGCGCATTAGTTTTTGTGTCTGGTATATGCACAACTAGTGAAGTTCCGGAATCCTCTATATTATTTAATGTCAATTCGCACAGTTCTTCTCGAAGACATGCTCCAAAAACACCAAAAATCGCAGCAACTTTCTGCATTATATATATTTTATCTGGGGCTTCTGCGAGAAATTTGTCAATTTGTTCTCTTGTCAATACTTTTGACTTTTTCGGTCGATATCCTTCACCCTTTTGCTTCAAAAAAGCCACAAGCTTGTGATATCTGCTTATGTCATGATCATGTATGTTCAACATCGACTTTGAGTAATTCGAGCAAAGCGTTGACGATTTCCATATTTTGGACTTTTCTTCAAAGTATGCACGAACCACTTTTTTACTGGCCTTCTTCCCATTGACATTTTTCTGATCACACCATTTCAAGAAACGTTCCTATGAAAACTCGTACAGTCGCTTTGACTTACTAGGCAATCATTCAAAAACAGCTTTATTGGCAGCTTCTTCAATTTGCGGCGGAAGAAATTCATTTTCTTGGGCACTTTCATCGAGGAACGAAGAAACGAGAAAGAATAATTCGTGATTTATTGACGTTAGTTGTCAAGAAAGATAAATCAACAAATTCAGTTTTTGTTTACCTTGGTAACTTGTTTCATGAATAGATTAGATTGAATTGGATTCAAAACTGATAATTTCGAGGCTGTTATTCAATCAATTAATAAGTAATGTAAAATAGCTATGCGTAATTTGGACTTTTAATGGTGTTTGTAGAAAAAATAGTGTATGATATATGTGCTAAAAGTGTTTTTGTTTTTGTTCGAAGGGATGGAACACAAAATAAAATGTCACTTTTAGCACTTATATCATAAATAATTATTTTCATCTTCTAGAGATATCAATCAACTTCTCTCAATATATAGGTCCAGCGAAAGATCCTAAAAGCAAAATGTGAATAGGAGAATATATACAGGGTGAATAATTTAACTGGATAAATTCTCTAGTGGGGATATTAATTATTTGTCTAAAAAATCGCGGGACATGTCAACGTTTCAATGTATTTAGCTAGTTGAAATCCTCCTGAACATGTATTTTTTTAAATGCAACCCTATGGCTTGTAACCCCTTATTAGAAAGCTGATTGAAAGAGGAATTCAGCGCACCTACTCAAAAGTATTTAAGGGTTGCATCAAACCAGAAGATAATTATAAAGCTTAATACATTTTCAACGCGTTTTTATCAAAATTCAAAAGAAGGCATTTTCAACAGTTTGCAACAACACTTTGTTTTGAACTGTGGATAGGTACTGCATGAAATCTGATAATTAAGGTCAACACACATTTCAAGAGTGATTGTTGAGTTGAAAATGAACTGAATTTCAAAATCACGTTTTGATTCCATGTAACCCTCAAGCATTCTAAAAACCAAAATTTGATCATTAGGAATTTTTACGAACTCATCAGCGCCTTCACGCTCTCGACCACCGAGCCGCCGAATTAGGAACAAATTTCAGCTACAATTGAAGCGCTTTATTCTCCATATTGCTAGCAAAATGAAGGTAAATACATTAAAACGTTGCCCTCCCCGGTCTCGCAAATTTAGTCTCCACCCTGTATACTAATATAAATCAGTTTTATCATTGATAACTCTCGAAAAAATGGAAATTGTTTCCCAACATTTCCGTTTATCAGTAAACTTGTTTGTATTCAAGTTGCGTTATTTTTTATGGATAAAATTTGAGGAATTCTCATTTCTCCGGGTTTTTGAGGATTTCAGTCTCCCAGAGAAGTGAAATAAACATTCCACATGCTAGATGAACCTCGAGTACTTATATGAAGAATCCTACTAAGTGAAACACAAAATACAGCGAGAACAAGAATAAATGATGTCATTTCTCAAAGTCTCAATTGATATTGTCATGATATTCTATATAGAGGGTGTCCCAGAATAACAGTTGATTCAACGAAATATTTGGTTGATTCAATGAAATATTTGTTTGATTCAAAAAAATACTTGGTTAATTCAATGAAATATTTTGTTGATTCAAGAGAAACTATATATCCATTCGACAAATTGTTTTGTTGAACCAAATTCAATATTCGGGAATTTTCTAAAATTTCACATCAATAGAATGAACAAAACTAGGAAACAAGTCGACTCCTAGCATAGATCATCAGTCTTTACTTCTCTTCAGCTGATAGAAAACTATTTAGGATTGCTAATCATCCAAAGTTCGATTTATCTAGTTGATATTTCAAACACGAAGAATCAGGCTTCTCGTATATAATGAATTCGAGGCGAAATAATCGCCATCTAGAGGCGAAAATTCAAGTTGATGTAGAATGAACAAAATATTTCATTGATATTACATATTTCGTTGCTCTATTCAAGCAAATGATCCGTTCGAAACAAGTTCATTGCTACATCGGAATAAGAAAACTTGTATGTTGTTCCAAAGATATATTCCCATCAAAATGATCATTATTTGATCAAATCAACAAAAAGTTTATAATTGAATCAACATCGACATTATTTTGGATCAACATAATTTGTTTTTGATAAAATCATATGTTTTGTTGATGGAATTGATATTATACTGTTGATTCAATTAGACTACATTCTTGATTTGAACAAGCTGCTTCCATGAAATAATCATGTATCTGGTTGATTCAACAAGAAATTGCTTAGTCCAACAAAAATAATTCAAGCATAAATAATTTGTTGATGCAACAAATCTTTTTTTTCCGTGTAGGAACGTTATTCCGGGATATCCTTATAGATTGTATTGAATGTTTTTGGGTGAGAAATAACTCCTTCTGATGAGCTCATTGATGAATCGTTCACTGGAGTGTTAACAGTGTTGATAACACCCCAAATTCACTTTGGCCAAACTGAAAAGAGAAATAAGTAAATGGAAAAACCTATTAACTGAAGTCTCAAGCTGGAATCGAACCCGCTTGGGAATTGAATTCCTCACCATCGAGCCAATACCAGTAGTATACAGGGTGATTCAGATATTCCACTAAAAGATTTCACAAAATGTGAATAAGGTTCGACAGCATGATTTTTCAATTATATCGTTATTATAAGAGATACAAAAAAACTGAAAATATTTCCTTTTCCCATGACGCGTTTCCTTACTGGATATAGGGAAGTATACAAAAAACGAACCCAACCAAATAGGGACAAATTCTCGTCTGAGGCTACAAAATGTCAAATAGGACAGAATAGTTATGTGAGGTATTGAGTTAGTCCTAAATATCCTCATTTTCAATAATACAACAATCGTGCGGGAAAGTAATTTTTCAGCACTAGTGCGGTAGAGTAACTCTTTTGCACGATTGTATCAACAATTCCACTCAAATAATTTACAATGATAGTAAATGACAAAAACAGAAATAATCAGCAAATGATATTTCAGTGAGTATGTGGAGATTAATACATTTTTGCGAAGCAGAAATAGTATAGGAGATTGAAGAATCAACTCCAGATAATACAAAAAAGTATTTCCACCATTTGGAACGTTGATTATCACACTTATACAATATCGTCCTCTTGCTATTCATTTTATTTATCAATAAGGTTTGTGGCGAAGTGATAAGCTTGCAGGTTAGTGAAAATTCAATCACCAGATAGTAGGTCCGCATTTCCACCGGAGCAAGCTTTTTTTTAATATTCTTCTTTCTCGTTCAATGTACTAGGATTATTCTCAGAATATTTGAAAGAGTCCATTCCGAATGTTCATAGAACGTCCCTAGAATTATGTGTTACACATTGTGAGAATATTCTGAGATTATTCTACTATTCTCTGAGGACGTTTTATGAATGAAATTGTGCTATCTGGGAATATAGATGAAAATAAGATGATTTCAAAGATGTATATTGAAAATATCTATTACCCTCCTCAAGATCGTAACATGGAATGCCAATGACAAATAAATCATGATTTTTTTTTCTAGAAAACATGGGTTTGACCACATCTAAATCACCTTTGGAAAGGAGGAACACAGTGATCAAGCGATCTCAAAGAAAATCAATACATACCATAAAATCCAAGATCGATAAGCTGTTTACCGATATAAAAAAATTCCGAGGTACAGAAGAAGACGACAAATACAAGGTCCTTGTTACCGAAATCGGTCGTTTGAATTATGAACTGAACAGCAAAATCCGAGATTTGCAACCGCAAGTACGAAACATTCATCAAGTAACCGTTGCTAGGTTAGATGAAGCAGTGCAAGCCCTGCAAGCAAAAGTACTAGAAAATCGGCAAAAACAGCAAGAGAAGATGAAGAAGAATCATAACCAAGATGAGGAGGATCTAAACGAAAATACTAGCAAGAGCGTCAATGAGGAAATCGAAGTTAACGAAGAAACAGAAGAAGGTGGGAATCAAGCCAGCCCTGAACAAACAAACGAATCGCAAGTCCTAGAAAACAGCACAGACAAGAGGAAGACACTTGAACTGAAATTTGTACAAGTAATACCAGAAAATAGCATCGAAGCAGAGGTACATAACGAACAAATGTCCCCAAACTTCAAAAGGAATGACGAGAAAAGGAAATCCATCTTGAAAATGGGCGTTCCTGTGATGCCTGGAGCGATGCTAGAAGAAATAACGAAAAAAACGAACCAGATGTCAGTACATTACGACACAACGGTACCAGTACCAGTACCAGTACCAGCACCAGCACCAGTGCCAGTGGAAGATTCAGACGCCTTGCTGGCGAAGCTAGGCGATACCGTTGAAAATCTGCAAAAAATAGAATACCAAATTGCCGATTTCGTTGGAAAAAAACACGGCACTCAATATAACCGTATAAAAGACAAATTGGTTGGTTACATGCATGAAGTGACGCAAATAAGATCGAAGGATGACTTTGTTGTTGATCAGGTCCAGTTGTGTACAAATTACCTCGAGAGTTGTTTACGTTTTCTGGACGACAAGGCTGTGGAAAATAATAAAGATCAACTGCAGGATGATGTATTTTTACCGGAACAAAACAACAATACGTTTGATGCTCAAACCAAACTGCAAAAATTGATGAAGACGACTGCTATTTGATCGGGACAATGGTGTTCACATCAGAAATGCCATCTCAGTATTGTATTGAATACTATAATTGCCATGAAATGATACTTAAATACAGGGTTTTTCAAAACAACGTACCATTTTTTTTACAGAGTGAACCATAATAGATTGATTGAAATCAACTTACCTTTATACGAAAATGCCGATAAAGAAAGACATCCTTCGCAGCTCAGGGCAATCCTTGTGGAGTTGAGAGTCTGTATGTAATCGTCCTCTCCCATTCCATTTTTCGGTCAATTATACACTTGGAAGGTCATGTTTTATTCTAGGTATAATACTGCTTCCCATTCAAATTGATATATGGTTCTGTATACTCGTGCATTAAATTTTCATGTTTAGTGCCTTCTAACCCTCTTAAATTATTCGATTGCGTTTTCCTCTCATCGCTCCTCTACATGTTGTATGTTACCTATCAATTTTATGGAAGGAGCAATGTGTTCTAGTTCTAGTTCTAGTACTACCACTAGCCATATTTGTCAATCATTATAGTTCTGTGAAACTGACATATGGACCTATCCCAACAAACTTCGAATCTCTGGCCGCCTTCTGGCACAATGCAGGATCAGTCGGCAGAGTGCTGGCAACGGCTGAGCTGCAACGGGAGAACGTCGGCCCATTGTATGGTATATAATAATCGTTTATTCATAATCCGGCCAGCACTGGACCAGTGGAATCAAATCGTAATGTCACAACGTCGTCTGAACATCGGCCCTTGGTATATTGAAATCGTATTCAACTGTAACCCAGCCGTCACCGGGCCAGTGAAAGACATCCGCGCTTCACCATATGATATTACCCATCAGCTCTCTTCTGTGTAATTTCGATGAAAGATGGCTACTCAAGTACCATGATTATGATGATGATTGTGGCTTGGAAATATTGGGAACTTAGGTTAACACATAATATAATATGTAAATAATGAAATATTTCTTCTGCTAACTCTATGATCAATAATAGTTTTCACACCACTTTCAACACTGTTATTTTTCAGTAAAGTAGGTAGGTATATCTTCTGGTACTACCTATATAAATAGTGATCCTTTCGACAGTGATGAAGATATAATGAATGTCAAGTCACTTATTACCTATATTATTTTCCGTTCTTTTACATTCCGTCACGTATCTGATAGTTGCTCGCTGATTGGTAAATAAATAACCTACCTATAATGGAGTCATCATATTTCACTTAGAAATTCGATACAAACTCAAGTGAGTCACAGAAACGCGTCTAGCTTATCGGAGAATCAGAAATTGTTATCTTTCATTATAATATTATGATTCATTGATATAGTACTCAAACCTCAACAGGAAATAAAATGGCTCGGTTGGTAAGATCTTCGCTTACAACTCCCACCATACTGATAGCGTCTGAACGACTCCCCCGCCAATTGGGTAACCTCAGTTCATGCACTTCAGAGTTTAAAGTGCATGAATGGAGTAGAAAGAGATGAAGGAGATTACTAATAGTGAATTTTTTTTTCAGAATGTAAGAAATAAAGGCTTAGACAATGTTTAAATGCTTTTTTGAGCTCATAAACGTATTAAGCACTCTCGAAAACGTATGGAAGTGTGGGGAATTTTCCCACTCGTGTATATATTTGTATATTCAATTAACTTCCCTGTATACCATATTACATTTTATACTCTGTATATATTTCATCATCCGAAGTGTTGGGTTTTTACCGATAAGGGTTTTTTCTACCTACGAAATGCCAACTATACTTATTGTATATTCACAACATTGAGTTATATGACCATCTGGCTATAAGATGGTAATACCCTAATTCGAGCCCTAATTATTATTCTCGGTAAAGCTTATAGAGACCTACCTTTCTAGCTCAATAAACAATTTATTATAATCAGTTATTCTTGAATCTTCAGAGTGTACAGTCGCAAATCTCTAGGTAATACAGTTGGCATTCGTATAAACAGCACTTCGGATTTTCATTCATTCTACAATATACGATTCAACCATCATAGTGTTCGGCATTGCCACAACTATCAAATATCCTCACACAAAGACTATTCAAAAAGGCGTACAGTTCTTCCTACAACTGATACGCCAAAGAAGCATATACAACACGTTTTCACAATTTTTTTGGAATTTCGGCACATTTATTCGTCAGAATTTGATCATTTGATGAACTTCCAAAGCTTCAAATCATTTTTTGAGTGTCTCATCGTGTTCTACACCCCCGAAAACATGGACAACGGCACCTCAGTCGTATAATTTGAATTTAGGGGTATTAAGGACGCCATCTTGAATATCTCACTTCCGGTTGGCATTTCGACTTGATAAACGGTATTTTCGGATTCAGCGGGGTCGGAATAGGGGGTTAACGTCATTTATTCATTGAAATGCTCCTAGGATTTGGCTTTTCGCAAAACAAGCCCCGACTAATGGTATATCAGTTCGCCCGATCATGTTGGTGCAAGTATAGACTCGCAATCACGTTATGCGCAGAAAAGACGAATTCAAAATACCTGAGTAGCACCTCGCCTCGCCTTCCAACAGACCAAATCATTAGGAAGTTCAGTTTTGAGAAGAACTTCCGAGTGGAGCTGAGCAACAAGCGCGAATGGAGCATAGAATCCATCGAATCAATGGGAAGAAACACCATTACTTGGTATACGGACGGGTCTAAAACACCCGAGGGAACTGGAGCAGGAGTCTTTGGGCCTCGCACCAAATACTTCGAATCCATAGGACAATTCCCCAGCATTTTTCAAGCGGAAATACACGCCATAGGAAGATGCATCCAGTTCAACCTAGACAGGGAATACCGGAAGAAGGACATCGCGATTTTATCCGATAGCCAAGCAGCCATCAAAGCGTTGAGCTCTCCTTACATCAACTCGAAGATGGTATGGGAATGCCTAAGCAAATTGAATGAGCTGGGCAGCAAAAATGAAGTGATCCTCCTCTGGGTGCCAGGGCATATTGGAGTGGACGTGAATGAACAAGCAGACACTCTGGCACGACAAGAGGCTTCAACGCCACTGATCGGACCAGAGCCATTCTGCGGCCTTGGAAATTCCTATTTGCAAGGAGAACTCGAGAAGGCGGATGGAACCTGGAGAGCCAGACAATGGAGAAGACTTTCAGGACTACGGCAGGCTGAAGATCTCCTTGGAAATTTCAACCGAGAAAGATCTAAGACACTGACAAACCTCAGCAAAGGAAGTCTCAAAGCAATAACGGGATTTCTAACGGGGCATTGCAGACTCAAAGAACACCTAAGGAAGCTATAGGCTTATAGGAGGACGGCACCTGCAGATTCTGTGAGGAAGAACCAGAAATACCCCATCACATACTGATGGAGTGTGACGCTGTACATCACAAAAGATTGAACATACTGGGAACACACCAGCTGACTGTGGAAGAAATAACACAGCTAGACCCCCTCAAAATCCTCAAATTCCTGAAGGAATTGAATCTCGAGGGGCTGCTATGAACAAGAAATCCTTGATATAGCAGAAGCAGATGGGGCACAATAGATCTAATTAGGTCGCAACCTACCAATACCAATACCAAAATACCTGAGTAGCACACCATATATTTTTCCACCATGGCTCAGGTGACAAAATTTGGATCGGCTTATTCATGCTCACCACTAATATTATGGAGCTCGGTTGACTCTATCAAATGATTGCCTTGTAGATAATCGTAATGAATTCATCAGCGGCGTAATGTCTTGATAAATAATTGGCTAGCGTAACAGAAATGTTACGAACTTAATGATGCAGGCAACACTGCGAACTCATCAATTTCTCGGGTTGGAGGGGGCGGCGGGTCAATTGCCCTTGGTGCCCCACCCCCCTGGAACTGCCCCTGTATATAATAATAATAATAATAATAATGATAATAATAATTATCTTTATTTGAAATAGGAACGTCCTAATTTACATACATTCCTGATATTTGTAATTAGTGATATAAATACTCAATGCTCAACAAAGAATGCTAATAATATATATATATAACAAAAATATAAAATAAAAAATACAGCTATAGTGTCACAATCCTTAGAGATTGAAATATATATACACACATCTTATACTCATTTACACTCAGTATACATGAGCAACACAACCCACACACTTACACACATGCCTTCCATAATTCATCTTTTTACATGTACAGTGGTGAAATGATTTCATTTAGACGAATTTTGAATGTGTTTAGAGACGGTGAATTTTTCACTTCATTCGAGAGGTTATTAAAATCATTTAAGCCCTTGAAGAATAATGTTTTCATTGAGCTTACATTTCGAGTTCGAGCTATATGGAAATTGTTAACGTTTCTTGTAGGATAAGTGTGGATCTCATTATTATACGTAATCAATGAACTAAGATAACTTGGGACTAACTTTTTTGTTATTTTATAAATGAACACCATTGTCATGAAAAACAGACGTTTGTTCACGTTATGCCAGTTCAAAGTACTTAACATCAGATCAATTGGAACATATTTATTGCATTGCAGAATGATTCTCATACCCCTATTTTGAAGTTTTTGTAACGTCATTAAACAGTTTTTGTCCAACAGGTACAGTAAGCTAGCACAATAGTCAAAGTGGGGTTGAATTATCGTCCTATAAATGGTTATTTTGGATAAGAGAGACATGTTTTGGGATACTCTAGATAAAAAGAATAGCTTCTTTGATATTTTTTTACAGATGTAATCGCTGTGACTTTTGAAACTTAGTCTATCATCTATCATAAAACCTAGATATTTGAATTCCTTAACCCATTCCAGATTTTCACCTTCTATTTTAATGTGTAAATGTTGGTAGTTTACGTTTTTTACTTTATATTTTGTACTCAGTATCATTGCCTTTGTTTTCTTTGAATTTAATTTCATCTTATTACTTTTCAAAAATGATTCGAATGATTTTAAAACATGATTTAGTCTCGTTACCGTTTCACCTAAGTTACTACCATAACATGCTACTAAAGTATCGTCCGCAAAAAGGTTAAGAAAATCATAGCCCCTTACAAAATTGATATCATTCAGGTAAATAATGAATAGGAGAGGCCCCAATACACTGCCCTGGGGCACCCCC